TGTACGGACAGGGAGAGGAGAGGGAGGGAGGGAGGGAGGGAGGGAGGCTGGGGAGAAGGACCAAGGGAAAAAAGCCTCTGTTGTAGCTAGAAGCAGTGGGCTCATGTGGAAGAGCCAGGGGTCCATTAACCCTGATGCTGCAGGTTTCCTGTGCACTTGGGTGTGTTGCTTAATATGCTCTCTCTCTCTTACCATCCTTGGAATGAGGTATTGGTTTATTTTTTTTTTATCTTCCATGTTTTGGACTGAGCTTCTCAGGGCAGGGACAGTTACTTCAATCTCTTACGCATGTACTGTGGCCTTGGCTGAGGGACTCTGTCAGCTTGCTGCTGCTTATAGAGCACAGCAAACAGCCCTGTCCTACTGATGTGCCTCCTCCTGCCTACAAGCATTGAAATGTCCTTCCACATCTGACACTGTGACAGCGTTGGAGGAGGACCGATGGAAAGGCTGAGGTACCCCTGAGTTACTGGGTGACACTAGCTCTGGCAACAAACTGCAGAATGCTGTTGCTCGTGGCTTTAAAATGCAAGCTGTTCAGGAGGGGACGTGCCACCGGCTCTGCTTGCAGACCTGTGCTGTGGCCAGGGGGCTGGCCTCACAAAGCTGGTGAGGGGTCTGGAGCACAAGTCTTATGAGGAGCAGCTGAGGGAACTGGGGTTGTTTAGTCTGGAGAAGAGGAGGCTGAGGGGAGACCTGATAGCCCTCTACAACTGCCTGACAGGAGGCTGTAGGGAGGTGGGGGTCGGCCTCTTCTCCCTGGTAACAGATGATAGGACGAGGGGAAATGGTTTGAAGTTGCACCAGGGCAGGTTTAGGCTAGACATTAGGAAAAACTTCTTCACCGAAAGGGTTGTCAAGCATTGGAATGGGCTGCCCAGGGAGGTGGTCAAGTCCTCATCCCTGGAGGTATTTAAAAGAAGGATAGATGAGGTGCTTAGGGACATGGTTTAGTGGTGGGATGGCAGGGCCAGGTTAAAGGTTGGACTGGATGATCTTAAAGATCTTTTCCAACCAAAGTGATTCTATGATTCTATGAAGCGTGTGCTTTCTTCCTCTTCCCACTGGCATCCTTGCTGCTGCTCCAAAACATCACACCACTGAGATAAAAATAGGTCCCCCGAAGTGATAAGCAACAGGAGGTGGGGATGCTTTCTCTCCTCAGGGAAGTGCAGCGCAGGCAGCGACTGCGGGGGCATCGTTAGCACAGCAGCTCCAGGGCTGGTTGGCAGGGGCTGGAAACGCACGCAAGGCTCTTGCCCATGCTGGAGCAGGCTTGTCTCGGCTGAGCTGCTCGTCGCTGGGTGAACTCAAAGTCACGGCAAGCATGCGGCGCTGTAATAACCTGAATCGGGGTGTCACCCTGAATGCAAAAACGACTTTTAAAATGAACCTAGAGACAAGCTCCTGTGGCTCAGCCTGCTGGGCTTTACCCCCCTCCAGCCCACTGTGCCCATGCCTGCGCTGCTGTTCCCTGCTGTCCCCTGCCACAAGCACAGGGCCCACATCCTCCAGCAGTGCTGAGTGCATGCAGGAGCCCTTGCCTTGCCTTGCTGCCAAGCTGGGTGATTAACTCGGTGCTTTTCAACCTCAGCTGCGGTGGAAGAGGTTTGGTGGGGGGTTTTTTGGTTGCTTTTTTCTTTTTTTTTTTTTTTTTGTTTTTTTTTAAGGCCAGCTCTCCTGGGGGAAGGGCACCCTCCCTAGAGCTCAGCTTAGCCGAGCTCTTCCCCTGTGGGTTAAGCCAAGTCATACTTCCCTGTGCGTGCCCTCGAACAAGCGCTGCTGGGCTGTTCACACCGCAGCACCTTCCTCATGAGGCAAATGTTCCTCGCTTCCCTTCTGGATCTGAAGGATTTCTACCCAGCAGAAGGGCTCAGCTCTCCCCTCTCTGTGCTCTCAGCATCCCGTGCGGGTATGCAGAGCCACGGCGTGGTGTCGGCATCCTCTCCGAGCAGAAAGCTCATAAACGTTGGTGGGGGAGGAAGCACACTTAAACACAATTTAAGCTGCTCTACGGAGGGTATGACTTTAAAAATTGCTGCCTTGGGAGGCAAACAACCCTATTATGCTTGGTACTAAAGGGACATACAGTTCTCATTAGTGATCTTGTTTTCTCTCCTCCTGCTCTGTTAACACCACTCCGATACTTCCAAATATTTCCCTGTTGATTTGGTCTCTTATTTAACAAGTGTTGCATCCGACCACACTGTGTGTACATGCGGCCATAGGCTAAACCTGCTCTCCTCCTGTGCTTCTGGAGAACCAGAGGGTGCATCGATGAGAGCAGAGTATTTCATAACTCTTGTCAAGGGCTGGTCACAAGGTCAATTAAAAAAAAAGAAATTCATTTCTTCCTCAGCAGTGAGTGGGTAGTTGAGGTTGGTAGGCCTGTTCGCCTAGGTACTTGACCAACCTGGTGTCTGTTTAGCTCAGAGCAAATTTGCAAGCAAGTCTGCTTTCCTCTAAGGCCTGGCAGCTCGCTCCTTTACGCTGCCTGGCTGGTGTCTGCTGCCTGAGTCTCCGAGGCGAAGGCAACAGGACTGCCTTGTGTGCCTTGTGTGCACTTTGAGAACACCTGCAGGCTTGTACCAGCCTGCATGCTGGAACCTAACAAATGATCCAGCTGATGGGAACGGGTTTTAAATATATATTTATATATATATATTTAATCTGCCCAATGTAGGGTTAAGCTTTTTATCAGATACATTCATTTTGGCTTTTCCAGTGGCTG